GGGGGGGGGGGGCTTATATCTGGAATAATAACTTTGTTAGAAAATAGAATTAAGGGCTTATATCCGGGGGTCCTTAACGTGATATTTTACGGTAGTCAACTGAACTTTTGGAAGAAGGAGGTGAGGAAAGATTACGATATATTTCTAGACCTTAGTGCGGGGCTTTTTTTGACAAAAATTAAACTAATGCATTTTATTGGAGTTAACTTCATGTCGAGAACGGCCCCACAGCAAAAACCGGAAGATATCACTTGCTTGTGCGATCTCGGCACAGTTGAAAGAAAGCGTAAAGCATAGGTGAACACTGTGGTGGGAAATCAAAAACGTAAATAGGACAAAAGAAGACAAACAGATGCTTCGATAGAGCAGAAAGGAGGAAGGTTCATTTTATTTATAAAACCATTTCTCTACATTTTAAAAGCAATAAGCTATGTTGGTATCTGCACATAGCTAAAAAATACTACGGTGCTAACCATTTAGCCAAAAATCTGGAAAATTCATGGGCAAGTCAAATGAAACAGTAGTTTTCCGGAAAATACGTTCGAAAATTAAAGCCCATCTCTCTCAAGAGGTAGTCCTCTTATTCCGTTCGGAACGGAACGGTGCAAATTCCCTCACAATTTGCTAAATTTTCCAGTTTCCAGTCTCTCATCAGCCGAAAACAATTACCGGGAATTGAATTGTAAATGTTAAGTGCCATCTCGTTCGGTTGGTTTGCTGATTTTGGAAAAACCCTTACCATTATTCAACGGTCATCCCAACCAGTTTATTCTGATAAATGCTAAGTACTCGTACAAATCATACTCGGAAAATTACGTACCAGGCTTCACAAATCGCGCGCACTGTTCAAGCGCTCCTGGTTTCACTTGCCCGTACACTATGGTGCCCGCGCATAGCACGACGTCGTATTCAGCGGTCTCGATCTCTTTCATGTATGAGTCAGTTAAGGGAGCACAGATCAGTTTCTTGTAAAGGTTCTTCGGTGCCGCTAAATTGAGCATTTCCTGAGAGATGTCCAGTGCGTTAACATTGGTGTACCCTCGAGCTTTGAACATTTCCCCGATCGCCCCTGTACCAGCCCCGGCGTCTAGGATTTTCATGTCTTTTGTCGGCTTAGGGTAAACCTCTTTCGTCTGCATGGCCCGATCAAACGCCTCCACGCACAGTATGTGGCCTTTGTAACCTGTGTTGTCGCTAATCTACGTGAAAAGGCCACAAACGAAGCTTGACTTTAACTAAAATCTCAAGATATATGTAAACATGACAACTTCAAGGCAACCTCGTTCCCAGGCTCTCTCTCCTCTCTCTCCTCCCTCCCGCGCAACAGACTTTTTTCAACAGCCAGATTCTGGATGGTCACGTGACCAGCCGCAACGGGATCTTTCTCCCAACGACAAGGGTGGCAGAGGACAGAGAACCTGGAAAAGGGGCTGGCTTGAAGGAGNTGCGCGGCCAAAATAACTCAATATACCATGACTGAACTCCTTTGAGGAAAGCAAAACAAATACACTATTGATGTTATTTTGTTACCAGCTTGACGCCCCATTCGACACTTTGAATAAATTTTTTCCCACTAGATAGATAGAGATAGATAGATAGTTGGTGCCAACTTCCTCCCTTGCAGCCAGAGGCTGAATTGCGGAGGAACCAGAGAGGTAAGATCGGACGTCAGCATAACAGTGAAGGCGCACTTTGCAGCCACTTCAGTCCATGTATGATCTCACCTTACCCACCCCAGACCAATGACCGGCACAAGTCAGATAGACCATGACACCGGGTTCTACGTCCCCTACTCTTTTCGAACAGTGTCATGCGTTCTTTAACGTCCCACAAGAACCAGATCAGTGAAGTGCTGTGAGACGGGGCCTACGGTTTATCGTCCTTATCCGAGAAGACGTTGAGAGGGTAGAAAGAACCAGATCGATGTCTTCAAATCACTAGTAAGAACTGTGCTTTGAAGAACGCGAGCCACGCCGGCTATTTTTTCGTGTTTTAATTTCTTTTGGAACTGATCGCAGGCATTACATATTTAGTTTTGGCAGGTCGTAAACCGGCATACTGAGCAGATGTAGACGATTGCGAAGTGCGAAGATAACAGATAAATTCATTTGTTTGCTAGGAGGAGGAATTTGACAATTTTACTCTGAAAACGTATCAAATGTTTTCCGTCCACACTACGCCGGGGGAATTCAAAAACGCAACAATCACTGGTCATTTTCGATTTGTATTTGAAAAAAAAAATCGGGGAGCGAAATCACATGATTATTGTGAGGTCATTCATCATTTACAGAAAGTTCTGTTTTCAAAATACTTTCTGTCCTCACGAAAACGAAAAGTCGGCGTTTTCAAATTCCTCCGGTTTGAAGATCGCTTTCGAAAAGCTCCGTTTCCGTTTTCGGGATTAATGTACGTGGACGGTAGGCCTAACCGTAGAAATAAAGCTGCGTTTTCAATTTCCTCCGGCATTGTGTGGACGAGGCCTTAATTAGCTTACTGCTGCTGTTGCACGTGCATGTTTACCTGTTCCCAAATTGAAGCACGTTCATCATAGGCTATTTTTGTTTCCTCCAAGGTCGCGTTTAAGCCTGGCAGTACCAGCGAGTGTTTCGAGCTCTCCGTCACTGTTGTCATGGCTACAAGGACGATCCTTTGCTCAAATTCCCTCAAGTACAAGCTACAAAAGAATCCAAGAAATCAATTACCTCGATCATTAGTAAGACTGACTTCCTTTTCAACTGTTTAACTCTTCGGTCCCAAATCAAGTCAAATATTACAACTACAATTCCTTTCTGCATGATTGCCGTATCCCTGGAGTTAAAATAAGTTCTATAAAAACAAGTATCCGATGAACAAGATGCTCCCATCAGAATTGTCTTACCGTTCAAAGACCAGAAATCGGCGAATGCGGTAGGACACCAAGTCGGTGATCTCAGTCGAAAGATTGATGCCGTTGTCCAGCCTGTTTACTCAAGTCCGAAGATCAACGTACAATTCAAACCAAAGGAACATAAACCTCCAATTGTGAATCAACAAAACGTTGGTTATTATTACAAGTGTGGTCTGTGCGATGCAGACTATGACGGCTTCACGAGTCGACACCTACATCAACGTGTGGAGGAACATAAGCGATCAACAATCGACAACCACGTAAAGGATGAGCACGGAAAGGATCTAGAGACCATTGGAAGCAATTTCAGGATTTTGAAAAAAATGTCAGAGTAAACTCGACTGTTTGATTTTGAAATGCTTTTTATTCGTAAACTTCAACCAAAATTGAACAAACAGAGTGACTCGATCCGCGCGAAGCTATTTACTTAATTATCTCTTGTATTGTTTCTATGTAAATATTTTAGAGTTTTAGTCAGTGTCTCATTAGCATTCTTATAATCGATTGTAAATATTTGGGCGCATGCAAAAATTTTACTTTTCAACTTGAAAATGAACGTCGTTGCTTTTTAACGTTAACTTTTCATTACTTGCTTAAGATAATGTACAAAAGACAGCTAACCTGCAGGCCAAATTTTTGGGGTAATAGAGGAGTTGTCAAATTTATTTCCACTCGAAGTCTAACTCGATCTTCCACTCGAAGTCCAACTCGAAGTCTAACTCGAACTCGAACTCGAACTGGAGTCCAAACTCGAGGGATTATTTCTCCCTATTTAGGAAAGATCGAAGCGGCTCTGCTAGCGGGTAAGTTGGTAGAGCACTGTACCGGTATTTGTAGAGGTCTTGGGCGCGAATCCCATTTAAGCCTGAACCTTTTTCAGGCTCGAATTATACTTTTTGGCGGCGTGAAAAATTAACTGGCAATCCGTCTGTGTTCGCAGGCAATTAGAATATATTATGATCTTGCAGTCTTGTATCCGAATGACGTGCACCGCAGATGGAAATTAAAAATTAATTCAGGCTTACCTCGTAAATTCCCAATGGTCGCGCGACTGAGACTATAGAATCTTGCGCCTATGTATGCGAATTCATCAGATTCATTGCGCAATTATTCAGCGCAGGGATTCAGCGTATTGTGCAATAAACACAACAGGCGGACTAAATATCAGGCGGCCCAGACGTTGAATACGATTAATACGTGATTATGCTGTTGGCGATTGCGTTAAAATTTTAGCCGTTTATAAGACAATGTATGAGAATGCTCTGAAAATTACTCTAAATGCTACGTGTAGAAAATAATTTGAATAAAATGGCTTACCTTATGTTTGCATTGCGTTATTTTGATGTCTCTGGGTTCTTGCAGGTTCTTGGAGGTGGTTTAGAGCCATTTAGGCGAGTTTTACTTTCTGGCGGTTTGCTGTTTCCCGAGGTGAAGTCGAGGGGAACATTGAGGGTCCAGGGAAAAAAACAAAACTCACTGTTTCCCGCGGGACCAGTCATTAAGGTTACAGTATACCTTCAGGGGTGTCTCGCGC